GATCATCATTGGCTGGTGAACATATGAAATTATGCATTGCCTCATTCTAATTCAGCAAAATGCAAATTAAAACCATACCATATCAAATCTACAAGACTGGTCAAAAATTTAAACTTTTGATAGTACCAACAATTAGCAAAGATGAGGACCAACATGAATTGCCATATACATTTCAGGAAATAAGAATAAGATTGTTTATATCAGAAAAATAGAGAAAGGCTACAAATAACTCAAAATGTTCATGATCCAATGATGTTGTAAGGTGGTTGGTAGTCAAGTTACTAGCTGTGGCAGCCTTTATTTCTAAGCATAGTTTGAACAAATTCATCTGTGAGGAATGAAGCTAATTAAACACCAAAACTATTGCCGTCCATAGTGTATGAAGTTGCCGACGTTGTAAATCTTTGTTGTTAGGAGTTAGTCAAGTCAGTGCACAACAGAAAGAAATACTGCCTTGTCCTGCGCCCATAATCATTGTTAAGCTTGAGCCCATTGCTGATCCCACTGTGCCAATCCATCTCATTGGGCCTTTCCTCTTTTTCACTGACCTTACACTTTACCTAACTGATATCCTTCTCTAGGTACTGATTTCTTCTGTCAGTATATCCGAAATATAAGAGACCAAGTCTCACCATCCTGCTTCCAAGGAGCATTCTGGTTGTACTTCTTCCAACACAGATTTGTTTGTTCTTCTAACAGCCCATGGTACTTTATTATTATCCAACACCATAACTCAAATGCATCAATTCTTAATATGGTTTTCCCTATTCACATGTATATATTGTTATTAAGTGTTGTTGAGTCAATTCCGACCCATAGTGATCCTGTATAGGGTTTCCAAGGAGCAGCTCGTGAGCTTGAACCACCGGCCTTGCAGTTCAAACAACTTTGCAATCTGATGCATTATCCCACAGCACCACACCAGGACTCCCACCTGCATGTGAGGATATTGAAAATACCATGACTTGGGTCAGGCACACTTTAGTCTTCAAACTGACATCTTTGCTCCTGAACATTTTAAAGAGGTCTTGTGCAGCCGATTTGCCTAAGGCTATATGTTGTTTGATTTTTTTGAACTGCTATTTCAGTGACTGTTGATGGTGAATCCAAGCAAAATGAAGTCTCTGACAACTTCAGTCTTTTCAGCATTTATCATGATGTTATTTATTGGTCCAGTGGTGAGGATTTTTGTTTTCTTTACATTGAGGTGCAACCCATACCGAAGGCTATAATCTTTGATCTGCATCAGTAAGTATTTTAAGTCCTCTTCGTTTTCAGCAAGCAAGGTTGTATCATCTGCATATTGCAGGTTGCTAATGAGTCTCCCTCCAATCCTGATGCCACATTCTTGTACATATAGCACAGCTTCTTGGGTTATTTGCTCAGCATACAGATTGAATAAGTATGGTGAACAAATACAACCTTGGCACATACCTTTCCTGATTTTAAACCATTCTGTTTAAACTACTGCCTCTTGGTCTTGGTCTTTGTACAAGTTCCTCATGAACACAATTAACTGTTCTGGAATACTCATATGTGTATTCAATGGCGTCCATAGCTTGTCATGATACAAACAGTCACAAGCCTTTGCATAGTCAGTAAAGCACAGGTAAACATCTTTCTGGTATTTTCTGCTTTGACAACTTGATACATCTGACATCAGCAATGATATCCCTCATTCCCTGTACTCTTTTAAATCTGGCTTGAACCTCTGGCAGTTCCCTTTCAGTGTCATGGTGCAGCCATTTTTAAAATTATCTTGAGTAAAATTCTACTCGCATGTAATATTAATGATATTGTCCAGTGATTTCTGCAATTCCGTTGGGTTACCTCTCTTTGAATGGGCACAAATATGGATCTCTTCCAGACAGTTGGCCACTCTTCCAAATTTCATGGCACAGTTGAGTGAGTGCCTCCAGTGCTGCCTCAGTTTGTTGAAAGATTTCAATTTGTATTCCATCAGTACCAGGAGCCTTATTCTTTGCCAATGTCTAAAGTGCAGTTTGGACTTATTCCTTCAGTACCATTGGCTCTTGATCATATGCTCTCTTGAAATGGTTGAATATTGACCATTTCTTTTTGGTACAGTGACTCTGTATTCCTTCATCTTTTGATGCTTTCTGCATTGTTCAATATTTTGTCCAAAGAATTCTTCAGTATTTCAAATCAGGGCTTGAATTTTTCCTCAGTTCTTTCAGCTTGAGAAATGCTGAGCATGTTCTTTCCTCTTGGTTCTCTAATTCCAGATCTTTGCACATTTCATTATAATATTTGACTTTGTCTTCTCTAGCTGCTCTTTGAACTTTTCTGCTATGTCTTTTATCTCCTCATTTCTTTCATTTGCTTTAGCATCTCTAAGCTGGAGAGTAAATTTCAGACATCCATTTTGGTCTTATCTTGCTTGCTTGCCTTCTTAATGATCTTTTGCATCCTTCCTATATTATATTCTTGATTTCATCCCACAACTCTTCTGATCTTTGGTCATTAGTGTCTAAGGCATCATATCTATTCTTGAGATGATCTCTAAATTCAGGTGGTATAGGTTCAAGATCATATTTTGGTTCTCGTGGACTTGTTTTAATTTTCTTTAGCTTCAGCCTGAACTTGCATGTAAGCAAATGATGGTGTCTTCTACATTCTACCCCTGGCCTTCTTTTGTCTGATGATATGGAGCTTTTCTACCATCTCTTTCCAAAGATGTAGTCAATTTGATTTCTTTGTATTCCATCTGGCGGGGTCTGTATGTATAGACATCTTTTATGTTGTTCATAAAAGGTATTTGCAATGAAGTTGTCATTCGTCTTGTAAAATTCTGTCATGCAATCTCCAGCATCATTTCTATCATGAAGTCCATATTTTCCAACTGCTCAACCTTCCTCTTTTTTTCCAACCTCTGCATTCCAGTTGCCAGTTACTGTCAGTACATTTTGATTGCATGTTTGATCAATTTCAGACTGAAGACACTGGTAGAATTTCATCATCATTGGCTTTATTTAGTAGTTGGTGCATAAATTTGAATACTAGTGGTATTAACTGACCTTCTTTGTAGGCATATGGATATTATCCTATCACAGTATTGTACTTCAATACAGAACTTGAAATGTTCTTTTTGATGATGAATGTAATGCCATTCCTATTCAATCTGTCATTCCCATCATACTAAACCATGTGATTATCAGATTCAAAATGGCCAATTCCAGTTAATTTCAGCTCACTAATGCCTAGGATATTGATGTTTATATATGCCACCTCATTTTTTACAACTTCCAATTTTCCTAGACTCATACTTCATCATCATACATTCCATGTTCTGTTTTTTAATGGATGTTTGCAGCTGTTTCTCTTCATTTTGAGTTGTGCCCCACCAGCAAATGAAGGTCCCAAATATTTTACTCCATGTGCATCATCATGATCAACTCTACTTTGAGGAGGCAGCTCTTTGCCATTTGTATTTTAAGTGCCTTCCAACCTCAGGGGCTTATCTTCCGACACTATATATGACAGTATTCTGGTGCTAGTCATCGTGTTTCAATATTCAGTATTCTAGTGCTAGCTCACATAAGGTTTTCAATGGCTAAACATACTAAAATAGTCTGCTTCCCCTTTTTCCTAGTTTGTCTCAGCCTGGAAGCTCAGCTGAATCCTGTCTATCATGGACGCTCCTACCAACATTCCAAATACCGGTGGCATAGCTTCTAGCCACATGCAGACCACCACAGTGTGACAAACTGATAGATGAGTGGTGGTGGAAATCTTCCTTCCACACCGCATCTGGTACATTTGAACCACCAGCCTCATATTTAGCAGTCCAGTGCTTACCCTACAACACCACCAGTACTTGTGAAGCTATTGAAAGGAACCTAAAAATATCACTTGCTTGAGAAGGAAAACGTACTAAGTTGGGAAAGCATGGCAGTAAAGGGCTAGATGTTTTAAAATGTTTTACTTCTACTTCTATTTTTGTGTGTGACTTACCTTTACATATCCTTCCCTATGGAGCAGTGCTGCTGTATCTGGAAAGTTGATGCTTGTTAATTAATTGCATAGCTTATTTGGAAGAGACCCAGCAGTGAGGAAGTGGTAAAGGGCCTTTCCTTTAGATGGTCACACCCTCCTGACCAGCTCAGCCCATGAGGGCTGATGCATCCCAGAGCAGTTTTGAATGTTAGACTGCAGTATTTTCAAGATGCTGTTATTTTCTCCTCTTTCACATACCTTTTTAAAGTGTTTTTTTTACTGGGCAAGGCCATGTCTCTTGTGTATATCTATGCTAATAGTTAGTTAGAAAATTATATTCTGGACTCCTGGTGTAGCGTTATAAGATTCGCACTGAACTGCAAACCATAAGGTCAGCGGTTCAAACCTACCAGCTGCTTTTCAGAAACCCTATACAGGGTTGCTGTGAATCAGAATTGACTTGATGGCACTTAACAACAACAACAACAAACAATTTAGGATAAATAACTGGACTGTGAACTATAAGGTCAGTGGTTTGAGCCTTCCAGCTGCTCTGCAGGAAAAAGATGAGGCTTTCTGCTTCTGCAAAAGATTTAAAGCCTCTGAAACTTTAAATAGGTTCACTATGAGTCAAAACTGAATCCACAGCACTTAACAACAACAAACAATTTATGGTAGAATAAACATTCCTGAAACATATCATGCTTAGACAAAGTACTCTTGATAACAACTTTTTTGAAAGTCACTGATGGAAAAGTTTTACTTTGGCATATGTTGTAACTTCTTTCCCTCTAAAAACTCAGTTAATAGAAATTCTAAATAGCTGTTTTAATGGTTTTGAATTTTAGTCTTCTCCTTTTTTTCCTTGTTTATTTTTTGACAACAAAAGACAAAATGATCCATAAACAAAAGTAAAGTGTGATAAATGATCAAAGAATATATGACACATGGAAGTTACATTTTATTTAATCTAATAATGGATCTAAATAGATGAAGATGATTTAATTTAAAATCTTCTCTCTCTCTCTCTCTCTCTTCACTAGCTTTAAGAAAAAGCAGAAATCATTTCTGACGGCACTGACTATAATAACAAAACTTAGCTGACTTCCTGCCCTGCAAATTATGGCACTACCGTTCCGGAAGGACCTAGAAAAGTACAGAGACCTTGATGAAGATGAGCTCCTTGGCAGTCTGTCAGAAGTAGAACTGAAGCAGCTGGAGACTGTACTTGATGATCTTGACCCTGAGGTAGGTTCTAGATATCAAGGAAAACCAAAAACCTTTTGCATCCTTGAACACAAAGTAACAGCTGCCTTTCAAGCAGTGAGGTTTTTCAGAACTTCTTCCTGGTACTCCCCACCTCAAGTGCTTCCTCTCCAGTTCCTCCATTTTTACCTTCTTAGCTTTATTGATAGGTATGCTCTCTCTTCTCCAGCATCTTCATTTTCAGACTTCTCCTGAAGTTTTCTTTCTTCTAAGAAATCTTTTCACTTTGTGCAGAAAAGTATGCTACTGATAAAATGCAGCAAGTGATTAGTTCTTTTATATATGCCCATCTCTGTGACAGCATCAGAACTTCTATACCAGATTGGCTGCAGCATAGAATACCTCTAGATGGTTCTTCATGACTTTAAACCTAACATTAGCTTTCTGAAAGATACTGACCAAATTGAATAATTTTCTTGTCATTGGTAGCAGACTTGAATGTATGTTTTAATATGTAAAGTGAATACTGTTTGTCTTACAAATTACCCAAGACTAGGGTAGAGATTCCTGGCTCACTGTGGTCAGTGTTTTATTTCTTTTTAGGAGGGGAACTTCAGAAAGTTCTTGAAAAAATGGAATTAAAAGATAAAGGAATTTTTCCATAAACTTTTTGAAGTCCTTTCGTGTATGTGTGTTTGTAAAATTTGGTGGTAATTACTGCTTCTTGTTGTTAAGTACTATGGAGTCGGTTCCAACTCATAGTGACCCTGCACAGAGTTTCCGAGGCTGCAAATCTTTACTGGAGCAGAAAGCCTCATCTTTCTCCCGCGGACCAGCTGGTAGTTTCAAACTGCTGCCCCTGAGGTTAGCAGCCCGATTCGTAACCACTATGCTACCAGAGCCACTGCTTAGCCTGAAGGTTATAGTTACTTGCTAGACTTCTTTTCTTTGTTACATGTGTCTTTATATTGAGACATTGACTTTTTTAATATCTTTTAAGGATTGAAGTCGTTTGTCTTATGAAATTGGTTTTGTGACTGCCACACATTTATTTTCTGTTGAAATGTATTGTGAGGGTTTTTGGGTGGTTTTGTTTGACAGTTACATTCCTAGTCTAAGCATTACTTCGGCACTTGACTGATGTGTCTGTCAAATCCTTATACCATAATTGCCAATATAAGGACAAGTTTGTGGGTAGCAAAGTACACACAAGTCTGGAGGGTAACTCAGGGTACCAGTGCTGTGCTGTCACTGCAGTGTCTTCTATAGGCAATTCACCTACTACACCTACTTGAATCAAATGGTTTTAGATCTGGAAAGAACCTAAAAGTGTTCATCTAGCACACAGTGTATCCATCTCTGTGCTGTTAACTTTAGGCTGCATACTTCTTTGTTGTGGGGGCAGTCCTGTGCATTTAGCAAAGTCCCTGGTCTCTACACACTGTATGCCTATGGCACACTTCCACTTGTTCAAACATCAGTGTCTCCAGACAGTGTCAGATGCCCCTTGGGGTACAAATGCACCCCTAGTTGAGAATCATTCTTCTAGTCTCAGCTTTCTGTTTTAGAGATGAAAACTAAGTTAGGTGGTTTGCCTCAGTTATTAGGATTAGAAAAAGAACTGAGACTAGCTAGTGGTCATTCTCTTAAACCACAGTGAGTCTGCTATTAACACATGTGCTGTGGCATCAGTATCAAACGTGATGGTGCTGCCTATATAAGGAGGCTTGGCTTCTAATATCTGAATGTGTTTTACAAACTCCTCAACCCCAGTTGCAGCTCCTCCTCCAACTTCAGATACTGTTTTTGAGTCTAGAGAGCCAGTGATATTCACTGACAGCATGCAGGAAATAGGTTTATAAAATTATAAGCAACAGAAGCTTATGAAAATAAGCTTCTAGTAGAGAGAAGCAAGAAAAATCTCTCCCGAATGCATTTATTTATTTTTTCTCTTTGTTGGGTAAAGTCCTGGTGTGGCACTGTAGGATAAGCAGTGGACTACTAACCACTAGATCATCATCCAAACCAACTAGCCACTTCTCAAAAACCATATACAGGGTCTTTATGAGTTAAAAATGACTCATTGGCGCTTAACAACTACTTGTTGGATGAAGTTTTGGAAAGAGTTGGAGTGAAAGAATAGGTTAAAAAAAGAGGGTAAGAATAGTTGACAACTACTTTAGCCAAAGAAGCATCCCTGTAACTAAGTCTCAGGTGTGTGTAGGGAGCCTTGTTACAATTTGGAGAATGATTTTTCCATCCTTGGAATCCTATTGTATGCTGTAGGATAAGCATTGAACTGC